TGCGGGGCCGGGCGCGCTGTCGCGGCCGCGGGGCTCCGGAGCTCGGAGGTTCAGGAGAGTTTACACCCCATGACCCTCGCCCATCGCCATAGTCCCTGCCGGGGGCGGGGCTCTTGCGGAAATAACGCGCCTTTTGATTAGCCGCTTGTTACCATAGTTTCCCGCCGGGGCGGGGCTGCGCGGCAATAACACACATACTGATTGGTCGAGTCTGGCGGGCGGTTGGTGCGCAACTGCTGCCCAAGCTCGCCGGCGGCGGGGCGCTAGCCTCTGCGCATGCTCAGCACTGAGCCTGGTTGGGGACGCGGGGAGAGAGGTGGCGGCTGGCGGAGCGGGCCGCGTTGGGTGTCGGCCGGGAGAGGGAGCCGGGCGGCTGTGTGCACCTCTGTCGTACACGATAGCGGGCTGGTATGAGGGTCCCTCGGGCTGCACGCTCCTGACGCCCGCATGTTGGGGATGCACAGATGACGCGCCATCCCCCGCTAAGAGGACTCAGCGGTCGGCAGCTGTCTCTCTGGCTTACCGTGGGAAGCAGCAAGACACAGCGGTTGCGCTGTCATAGGTCCCAGCGCCGCAGGTGGCAGGCAGCCCGCGGCCCCAGGCCTTCCCCCGGAAAGTGCACAGGAACCCTCTGCCGCCCCTGTTCACCAGGGCGTCGCAGAATTAGGCCACGGCTCTCCTCTGTCACGGCAGTGATGATAATCACACGTGTAGGCATAGCCGAAGAGCCTTTCCACAAGGTGTTTCCACAGCTCATTGCATTAGACTTCTTAAAATTCAGTCTCGCGTCACTCTCCCGGGGCGTTGCTGTTCGACTTGTTTCCAATTAGTTTTTTACAAGGAACCTCATTTTCTTATGTAGTATTTAAAGTGCTTGCCTGTACATGTAGACTCCATAAAGTACATAATGTGTGACCTTAAAAAGCTAGGAAGGCAGGGTAGCTGTTTTATTGATATAAAAACAGATTCACAGGCCTTCTGGATCCTTCTAATGCCCTTTGGTTACAGTGCAAGACTGTACAGGTTTAGTATGTAACCTTTTCCAAGAATAGTTGCACTTTAAAAGAATACCAAATGCTTTAAGTGAAAATAATTTTTTTTACCCCATAATGGAAGCCTGTGCGGTCGCTTTAGTCTGGAAAGCATTTCAATGGCAAGTGCTAATCAGGGCCAGGATGGTTGCTGCTTTCTTTATCTGTACTTGATCAACATCAGATAACATGATTGTTAGATGGTGACCTTTGGGGACAAAGCCAGGTGAATAGAGATCTCTCAAGTGCCAACAGGAGGCATTACACAGTAGAAGGATTTTCAACACGTTTTCCCTTCCTTTCTGTGGAAATTATTACCCTCTACTGTAAGAAGAACTGTTTAGTTTTGGAGGGAAAAAGTCAGGGGTGTGGATAATGTACACAACCAAAGCCTCTCAGACTTGAACCGAGACCAGACGTTCCTACGTTAGAAAACGGTGTAACGAGATAAAGCACGTTCTGTGTTCACGTTAGGATCTCTACCTATAAAGTAAATACATATGTATATATGTGTAAATATACTTTCTTGGAATTACCCCAGATAGTGTTAGTCACCAAGTTGTAAACTTTTGTGTTATGTTTTGGCATGTAGACACTGAACAATTGTTTCTCTTGTTCCCCGTTTGTCTCCAAACCCAGCCCCTGACTTTTTTGGTTATTCTCTTGCTCTTCACCCTCCTTGCTTCCTATTAACAATCACCAATTCACCATCCCTTTCTGTGATCCCCCTCTTTTTTTTT